TTCTTAGTGCCTTCAGAATTCACACGACCCATGGATTATTAATTTAAGGCTATTTCTTGTAGCTATTCTTATGTTTAGTTTAGTTTGAATACACCACATACTATTAAATGGTGGCATGAAAAGGATTCTTTCTTTGTTTCCTAGGTAAGCTCAATACTACATAAAAGGAAAAGTTACATATCAAGCTCCAGCTCAAACAAAATTGGAGGAAGCTAGGAATGTCATAAAGCTAAAAACAACTATTCTAATGAAGTATAGGACCTCAGTTTCACGTGTGAATTAAGAGAAAGATATACACATAGAGTATCTTCCAAAAGAAGAATCACCAGTAAGATTTCTTTGTTTTACCCTGACATGAATAGCATGGTGAAGAGATGGGTAACCAATTTATGCAGCCAATAGAACCCTAGTACCACCAAGAACGTGCAAGTATAAAGCAAGACATATGGTAACAATAACGGAAGACTTTGCTCCAACATATCTAATAACTTGCATTCCCCTGTCTACAACCTCGTCATGCACAACATTAAAACTTCTCTTCATACCTTCTGATAACTTCCACAACAAGAATTCCACAAGAGACCTTATTGTTTCAAATGTCACCCTCCCGGTCACATCAAACACAAACTTCCTATTACTGGGCACTGCCAATGTAGATGAGACCACGCTAACCCACCCGCCATTTTGAGTGCTACCAAATGAACCTCCATCTTTCAGATGTTGAAATGATTCGTTTTTCTTAAAACAATTACCTCCCATGGCACTTGCACCTTCCCCCTCCTCAACAATTGAACATGAAGAATTTGAACTTGAGCTAGAACTTGAATTTGAATTTGTCAAGACCTGGTGCGATGTCTTTACAAGTGTTTCCACAGCTCCATTACAGACAGAAACAAGAATATCCCTCACATTGTTTTGATGCCTTGGATTGGTCAATCCGGCAAAAATTTCATCATATGTATTGATATCCATTGTCTTGTCAAGGTAAACTGCAACAGCTGTGCTGACAAACTTTTGTATGCAATCTGCCATGAGCTCCTTACATTTGTCATTGCAAACCACCTTTACCCATCTGGGGATATCTGGTGAACTTGAACCACATTGAGATACACTTGCCTGATGGTCGATCCCCAATCCTTCAGCTGATCCGCCCTGTGAGTAGAAACCCAACACTAAATTCCTGGCGAAGCTACCCACCACAACTGAAACAAAACCAGTTCCAGCTGATGAGAAAACCCTCTCCATTGCCCTATCAGCAAAACTCGAATTTACAGTCGCACTTCCCAAATCACTCCCATTTCTTGATTCCAACTTATATCCCCGCAGAATCCCCACAGTTAAAGCCTCTGTAACCCTAACCAAAGACCCAGAGAACTCCTCTGACCTCGCAATCTTTGAGATTTGCTTCAGACTATTTGGAATTTCATTTGATTCCGACTTCAAAAACTCCTTCAAATCTTTGGACACAACGCTAATCATCTCTGCCGAATCAGAAACCAATTCAGCCACAGAAACCATGGCTCCCAACAGCTTCATCAACCTCCTTCGTTTCTTCACAATGGTAGGCAAATGATAGACCTTATAAACACCATAACCGGATACACCAAGAGCAGCTAAAATAATAAGCCATCTCTTCCTCCTCCGCGAGAAGTTCAATGCGTTGTTAACCAATTGAAGATCCATAGAGAAACTACAACAAACGAACCCTAGGCCTACTGCCACAAAAACCAGAACCCCTCTCCTAACTCGAAGTACCAAAATATGGAAATTACAAATCCAGTTATAGAAAAAGAGTGGACGCAGATACGAGATAGAGACAGAATAGTGGTTTCAAGGATCGAGAAATCTAGGGATTTGTTCTTATTTGTTCCTAACTTCGCAGAGTGGTTGAAATTGGAAACATAACGAGATAGGATTGTGCAAGTTTAGGTCGAGAAATAAACAAATACTGGTAACATGGTATATGACTGCACATATATACACACACGTATGTCTATATATGTAAGCAATAATACACCAGAAATGAGAGAATTAAGGCAAAATAAATGAATTCCTAGAGGACGGATGGAGAAGACGAACCTGGGCCTTGGCAGCTTTATTGCACAGAGATGGATAAAGAGAAAGAGGGAAAGAGAAAGACGCAAGCGGGCAAGTTGACGATCAGGATTCAGACAGAGAAAATGGTTAGTTGTGATAGTTGTTATGGCGTAAATGAAGAGCGTAGCTGATTGGTTAAGAGCCAGAGATAAAGGAATCTCTCAAGGCCAAGAGTCTTGGATTTTTCCAGGAAAATGCAAGGTGATCGTTGACTGTTCCGAAACGGTGTCGCATGAGTGTTTTGGTGAATCTTTTTTTTTTTGTGCAAGTCAGTTTTAAATCTTAAAATGATAAAAAATAAAATAAAATAAAATAATACCAACAAATTTCCGGGACTTGAGGATTGGCTTTTAAATGTCCAGGTCAAAGGATAGACCTTGATGGTAGGATTTATTAAAATCAAAAGTTGGAAAATTTTTATTTTGTTATAGAAAAATTATGTGATATTACAATTAATAATTTTTTTTATTTTAATTTATAAAATTTTAAAATTTTTAACAGAACATTAAAAAAAAAAAACAATAAGTGGGGAATTTTCATTTTATTCACAAAATTTTGCTTTATATATTACATCAGAATTCTAACAGACAACTGGGACAAACCCTGTCCTGTCGTCATTACAGTTGTCACCCACTCCCTGTACATTTCTTGAGCATGTGGAAAAATCAACCAATTTCATTTAGACAGTTTGTCTCTAACCCATTTCAAGCTTAATATTTCCTTACAATCTTCTCACAATCAAAAACTACAAACAATCACTCTTGTAAACAGTCATTTGCCCACCAAATCATGTTCCATTGAGGAGCAGCACCATCTGAGACAATCCCTTCCTACAGCAATTATATATTATAGCCCTAGAAAATTTCACACCTTCCTCATTGGCCATTGTCCAGAATCCAAATTTCAACATCCAGTTGCATTTTTCGTTGAAATCCGGTCCAACCGGCAAAAGCTTACACGCTTAGCCCAAAACTATGTTCAGCACTTTTTACAGTGTTCAACTTTCTGAACTCTTTGAAACCATTTTTGATTTTAAGCTCATGGTCCCCTTATCATCGTCATCCTCGAGATCACTAAAGGATACATCATCTTCGTTCCCCATAAAAATGGGAGCCCTACTGCAACCAAAATCAGAGTCGTCTTCTGGCCAGTCGTATTCATCATCTTCATAGCTAGGAATCTGTGTCTTGGAGGACGGACCAACTATTAAATTCTTATCCTCAGTCTTAACAACTGGCTTTTCTTCAATAACTGATTTGTCGATGAATTGTACCTCATTACTTTCGACTGGGTGCTTAACCATTTCGTAATCAATTGTTCTGAGGGAAGGTGGTTCAAATGCATATATTCGGGGTGACAAGTACTCTGGAGGAGCATAATTTGATGCCGAAGCAACAATACTCTCCTCCAGAACATCTTTGCTGTCTTTTAAGTAGGATAGGTTTCTTTCAGGCCAGTCAGTCTCCTGCTTTGTTTGTTTCTGCAGTTCTTGCATCCACAATGCTCTTGCTTCCATCACCTGTAAACATTAGTCTTTTAACATTGAGAAATTATCAACAATATCTTCTGATTCATTAGCCAATTTTCGGAAAACATGCAAGAGTAGAGACAAAAGCTAACATGAAAGTTAGCCCACTGCCTATAAAACCAGATCATTCTCCAGTTGCCAAATGCAATAACAATCCATCACTGTAGTAACAATAAGTACGAAAAAATGAGAACAAAACATTTCAGAAATCATGCATGCAATGCATTAATATAGTGCTGGTAAAGCCACATCGGTCAACAGATGACAACCGAAATAGAATTCCACCATCTCAGAGAACAAAGTACGATATAACCATGATTCTTCTTTGATTCCTGTAGTTTGCTTGTCCGGAAAATATCATGAACAAGGCACAATGAACAGGTAAACACATTCATTCCAAAACCAAGGGCAGTAAGCCACAACATGGCATGCTTCCAACCATCATTTGCAGTGCAATATAGTTGCAAGTTTTTTTATAGATTATGTTATCCTAGAAAAACTAAATTAATTCTTGTTGAATACTAATTATCATGATCCAACAACACCCAAGCCTTTTTTTCTTTTGGTTTTTGAGGGAAGCAATCCCAACAAATCAATCAACTTAATGATACAAAGGTTTCAAGTATCCCAAACAAAATATTTTATAAAGAGACCCTGAAATGGGCAACATGAGTGTATATATGGACCACGAATGCAATTTAGCTCCTTCAAATTAATAGATGATCCTACTTAAAGAATTAGCAATTTTAATAATCAGCATAACTAATTTATACGGAATTTGAGCTCTCCAAAATGATACATCGCAGTACGCAAGAGGATTGTAAATAGCATATAAAGAGACAGGAAATTGTGTAGAATTTATAGATTAATAGCTCCAGCATTAAAGAAGAAATGAAAGAGTTTGGAAATAGAAGGCTCTGGAAAGGACTTTGACTATGGCACTTTCACAAGGGCCTGTTTAGATATATTTACAGCAAAGAAAAAAGAGAATAAACAACTTACTTGTTTTGTGGACAAAGTTTGAGCATCATATTTATTTAGCCTTGAATGCAAAAGAACAAAGTACACTTTCCAGAAGTAACTCTCAGTCATATGGCAAGGACAAAGCTCAATCCTGAGAGCAGCTAATCTAGGAGCAAGATGTTCAATGGCCAAAGCATGTACTTGTTGAGCATCGGACATATCAAAATCTAAAACAAAAAATGAAAGTATATGAATATATTATGATCATAAAACTAACTCAAGTTGCAATTGTCATTATAAGAAATCAAATATTAAAAGCATCAGTGAAAATGCACGAATTTAGCAATGAGCAATTCAGCAGTATAAATGTAATAACACAGCCGACTACCCACAGTAAAGTGCTTAAAGCAAAAACTGGATAAAAAATTATAAATATTGTATTCATACACATATATACATGCACTTTCATGTCCATTCGTACATAAATATGCACTTCAAATGCAGTCATCTGAAATCTTAAGATTATAATCATCAGCCAAAACAATCAACAAGAAAACAAAAGTGCACTGTCACCACATGCAATTCCAAAAGCATGCAACAATTTCTAGTCAAACATGCAGTAAAAAAAACAAAAAAGATCACCAGAGAAATAATAACAGTCTCTAGAATCATGTGATTCAAAATCAATAAGCAGAGCATCGCAGGTGAAAATGCCAAGGATATGTTGATAACATTGTCCCAACATAACTCTACACTTAATATAAAAGTTTAAAAAGAAAAAGAGTTCCGCCTTAATGTTGCACTCAGTTAGAAGGATTGAAGGGTTAGTGTGGCATAAATTCTAAAAACTAGCAAGAACCAAAATACAGAAACAATCACCATGTGCAAAAATCTTGCAGTATGATCGTCATTTTACAAATATACTATAAGTATTTTCTCTCTTTAACTGTCACTTTCATGCTCATAGTAGGTACATTGTCATTATTACATAGTGATTCGTTGAAGATAGAAAATATAGACAATCATAGTACAATCCAAGAGATATTTCCTGATTGGATTGTTTTCATTAGTAAAGATAGAGGAATGAGAGTTACAAAACAGCCCATTTATAGGTTCTATCTCTCTCTCTCTATATGATACCAAGGACACTTTCATTAATACGAACTTTTCTCCAGTCCTAAACTTGCATTTCTCTCTCTATATATATAAATTATAAGATTTCACCAAGTGCAATGACACTGCCAAAAGCTTCGCCATTTTTTCCTAATGATTAGAGCTTTGCACCTAGCAAAGCCAATTATTGGATCAGCAATTAAATGCATGCATCCTATCAATGAGAGTCAACGAGAAACCAAAAACAAGAGCTTGTTTGATTGCTGCAACTCCAGGAATAATTTCAAAACAGATAAAAGACATCAGCGGGTAATATTTCCTATATTAAAAAATGGGATCAGATATATAGAATGGACTTCTAACCGAATGCGTACCATCCAAATCTTCTTCCTCGTCAAGAGGAAAATCTAACCAAGTCTCTGGATGCATTGCTATATTCCTTGCAAACGCCAACACCTCCTCGGTAATCCCAACGGCGGACCCCCCTAGTTCCTCCTCTTCCTCTTCCTCATCCTCTTCCTCTTCCTCTTCTTCTTCGTCCTCTTCCTCTTCTTCTTCGTCCTCTTCCTCCTCGTAGAATTCCTCGTGTCCCCCCTCATTTCCTTCCAGCTTTTCCTGCGATCCAAATGGAAAATAATTTGAAGCCATCTTCGAAATCTCCGTAACACCGCTCCTAAATCTCCCTCCAATCTCCGCAAAATCACTCCTGATCCCCGTAACTGCCCCCGAATCAGAGGGCTCCCTTTTCTTTTCGGAAACGTAGCGACCAGAGGGCTCTTGTTGGTCCATGTTAGAGGCTGATCGATGATCGTACTGGCGATAGGAATCGACTGGACAAGGAAGAGGGGGCGGGGGAGGAGGAGGAGGAGGAGCCAAAAAAGAAGCGACCCCCCCAGAGTTGACGAGTGAAGGTTTGCTTCAGCTCGGTCAAGTCTTCTTTGACGCCACGTGATTGAAGCTCCTCTTCTTGCAACAATGGCGAATACGATTGGATCGCGTCATTCTGGTCCTGGTTTTGTTGTTGTGGTTGGTGAATTTCGTGTTTTAGGGACGAAGATTGAGAGTGGGGCTGGGGGTTAGAGGCGAAAGGTGCGACGTCGTTTTCGTCCTCATCTACACCGTCGTCGTCGTCGAGACGGAGGGAGTTCGCCAGAGAGCGAGCCAACCATGACATTCTTTTTCGCCTTTTTGGATTCTTGGGGGGGGGGGGGGGGGGTGAGAAAGTGATTGAGAGAAAGCTCCGGTGAAAATGGCGATCTCTGTTTTGGGGAGTGGACCAATCACCTGCTTTGGATACTACCGTTAGTCGGAGAGTTTACCGGACCCAATTTCCAATCAATCGATGCCACGTGTATACTAAGCAATAACTGACCTGGATCTTGTCTTTTGCATGTTCCGTTTTAGGCCGCAGCGTTGTCGTTGTAGGAAGTTTTTATTTTCCACCCTAAAAATTCAAAATCACAAATTTTGACCAAGTTTAAAATTGAAAATGAAGTTTCTAAAATAAAAAAGAAATTACTTGTATTTTATTCAATGAAAATAAATAAATTAAATTTATTAGAGTTCCTGTCTTTTTCCAGTTTCATTAAATTACACTCCACTGAGCAAATAAATAAATTAATTTTTGACAAAAAATAAAATATAAGATAAAAATTAATACAGTTTTTTTATGAACAAAAATATTAAATTTAAATTTTTAAACGATGGACTAAAAAAAATTAATTGTTAAAAAATATTTTTTAAATAAAAATATAATATGTTAATGAAAACTTTTAATTATTTTAGTTTTACCAATATATTATCACAGGTTAATTATTACTAATGCATAAACAAGGTTCTAAATGTGGTTTAAACCCGTGACTTTCAAGTATAACAAAATAATTTCAATATATAAAATGTGTAATTTTTATAAAAGCAATATTTTATGTTGATTTCTCGAATATATTTTAGTATTAAGGTAACATGGGCTAGACAAGGTAGGTGTATGGCCCAAGACCATTCACCCAACTTAAATATTTATAAACAAAAACAAGACTCCTTCAAGAAAGTGCTGGGCCAATCATACTTGCCCTTTGTGTAGACTTCACTGACCCAATTTTGCTATACACAATAGTACAAGAGATATCATACCTACCAAACATGGTGCCTCTAAATTCTTTAAACGATAATATTATTAATTTAGCACCAAAGTATCAGTAAAACAAATAAATAACGTGTATGTATATCATTATGTCTTTATATATATCTATATATATATTAATATCTTCCTGTACAAATATGAATTCATTGTGAATCTAATAATTATGATTTGAGACAACCAAATAAATTTATGGGAATATGATTAGATTATAACTTATATCCATAAATAGTTTAGTTGGGAAACACCAATTTTTTTAAAAAAATTAAAATTTAAATTTAAAATAACAATAATTAAATTCATAAAGAATTTTTAAGTAAAATTAAAAGAATATAATTTAAAATTTATCAACATTAAAATAATTAAAAATATTTAGATGGGAAAAAAATAATAATAAAATATGCATCCTTGACTAGGCAGGTTGGCGAGAGAGCTAAGATTAGGTATTGGATTTGGTTAGGGTAGTAGGGGAGTTGGTTCCGAGACAACCAAGCATTAACTAACTGCTTTTGGCTTTATTCTTACCATAAAATTAGAGACAGATTTTTTTAAGTCATGAGTTTATCAAATTAATAAAATATTTATTTATCTTATAAATATAATAATTTATTAAAATTTATTTTAAATTGATTATTACAGTATAAAAAATAAACAAAATTTAAAATTGTAGAAAACAGAATTTAACCATGCACTTAATTTCAATTATTAAATTTATAAATAAATAATAATAATAATAATAATAATTTTTTAAATCATAATTTATAAATATATATATATATGTAAATTAAATTTTATTTTTTAATATTAAAACATGTCAAGTCGCCTGTAATAAATTAATTCAAAATTCAAAATAAGTTTTGAGTCTGGATATATATATATATATATAGATGTTTTTGGATAAACAAGTAGACATTGCATTTGGTTGGGCTGCTCTGCTTTTAAGGCAGACAATATTTCTACGCTCTTTAGCTCCCCCCACCACCCTTGTTTGCTTTTATATTTCCGTAGCAACTTTGGCAATGGTGGGTGTGCGTGTGCAACAAAAGTGCAATATATGGGCCCCTTGGATTTTCAATAATTGACATTTTTGTTTAATTATGCTGCTTTCCTTCCACCAATCATTTTAAATTATTTGCTCCCATGAATTTATTCTTTAGAAAAAATTTGGTAAAAGTAATTAAGTTGGAGTTGACTAGTAGTGTCAACAAGATCCTGATTTTTGACCCCCACCCCTTTTTTTTTTTTTTAGGCAAGAGAACAATTATGTATATATACAAGTTTTCTCCACATGGTAATTCTTTTTTCCTTTTTTTTTTTTTTTTTAATTTTATAACTATTTACTAATAGTAAATTTGATGTTTAGATTGAATCCGAGATTACCCAGCTCTTTTTCTTTCTACTTACTAATCCTAAATTTGATATTAGATCGAATCCAAAATTACCCAGAAAAGTAAAATTACACGAGTTTGCTTCAACTTTAAAGAAAGTGATATTCTCAGTAGTATGATCTCATGAGAATAGAAAATTTACTCAGAGCAGTTAAAAATTGATAGTATTAGAAAATTTATAGCCTAAAGACTCTGCTTTTCTTTGTTGGAATTAACCCGTTACTACCAGAAGAGTAATTTATGAAACTTCCTTTCAACTCTTTAAAGGGTAAATTAGAGAAAAGAAAAGAAAAGAAAAGAAACACCTCTCATTCAACATCCATCTTTTCTTTCCTTGTACTCTTGCTTGACGGGAAGACAACTGGAAGATGAGATGTCAGGTTTTCTCTCTTTGTATTCATCTTTCCCAATTGAAGTACTACTCATTGATTCAAAAGGGAAAAATCTCTTTCCCTCTAATTTCACAGATCTGTTTGGCATTTGGGAATTGGAATGAAATCATGAAAGTGGAACTAATAACTTATCATGACACTGAATTTTCTTTATCTTACTTTCCTCATGTACAAAGCTAAACAACTAAATTGTCAATCTTTACTATTTTTCTTATCATACTTTCCAAGACTAAAGTCTGGTAATATTTACCAGGAAAACGTTGTGATAACTCAGATTTACACTCCATTCGGGGGAAGTTCATTCGGAGATGTCTATAAGTTGATCAGACACTGGAAACCTAGTAAATTTCATCCAGAAATGATTATGTCATGATAACTTTATTCAGCACGAATACCCTGAAAATAGCTTTAAAATTCACCCTGGGAAAAAATTCTATGAATCCAGAGCTCGAGATCAACATGGGAATAAATAAATGAGATTCCAAACACAATTGAATCTAAAGTTGAATTTAGATAATTAAGATCATGTTTAAAGAATACCAATAGAGTGCTTGATGTACATTGAGGCAAATATTTCTACAATATTGGAACTCAAGGCCAACCAAATACCCCCTTTAGATTCACAGAGAGACCATAATCCCCATTAACAACCCCAGGAAGCAATGAACATTAAGGGATCACAACAGGCAAAAGGCTTCTTACCCATCTCTGATTTCTTCCTTTAAATTCCTCCTTGCCCCAAAAACCTTCATTGCAGAAACTTACGTTACCTTCATTTCTCCTGTGCATAATCTTTGAAATAGCTCTATTGGAACCAGAGTTTAAATATAAGGCAGGTTATGAACAGAGGATGGAAAACCAAGACATGTGGGAATTCTTAGGAATTCACATTATGAATATACTCCTCCTTGAATTTAGGTTGCAGAAGAATAAAACTTCTTAATTTACACGAGAGAGTAAAAGGGTAAAGGGCTAGGGTTCCTCAGAGAACCTAGTTGACTCCATTTGAGTATTGCTTCATCTCACGAGCTCTTCCTTACCCTCCCAAGATTTCAAATTGCCCTTAAAAAAATTTTAAAACGGGAGCTTTCTATCGACAAAACTTTGCCAATTTCCTTCACTGTAATGTTCTTGTAAGCTTACACTTGGAAATGAATATTGTAGCCGTGTAATTTAGACTACACAACAATTTCAATAACTCCGCAGACCGCTGCTTCAGCGCAGGGTTACACCCACTTTGGATTACTAGCAGTAGCTTGGCAGCCAACCCTGCCTCCACCGCCAACGAAGCACATTCCTCTGGCGCAAGCTTGCAAACCGCCCACAAAATCGACAAGGCGAATTCAGTGCAACTCTCTGAGATTCTCATCAACAATTTCACTAAATTGGGTATGGTATTGGGACAATCTTTCAAAGCCAATCTTCCTTCTGGGAGTGTTGACAAGACTTCCAAGATATGAAGGGCTAATTCCAAACACTGATTGTTCAAGCTGGATAATAGCTCAATCAATTGAGGAACTGCTCCAATGGTCACAACAGATGTCCTTATTGACTCATGTGAACAGAGCTTTTTGAGCAATCCCAGACCAGCTAATACTCCATTTGGGTGTCTTTTATCCTTCACTAACCTCAATAATCCGACCAAAAGGCTCAAGCTTGAGACGTTTACAGATTCGAAATCTTTGCCTTGGATTAATATTTCAATCAATTTCGTGCAGTTAATCTTGGTTTCAATCGACCCTTCATTCAACATATCCACCATTAATGATATCCTCGCAGGCTGCAGCAAGTTGGTCTTGGAATCTGAATCAAGATCCAAGCTTACCAGGATTCCAATTGCTTCTGACCCTACGGCGTGTGTGGTGAAAGGACCAAGCAAAGAAGAAATCAAAGAGACGCCGCCATTATCAACGACTGTTTTCTTAGCAGAAACATGGGAAGTGACGAGCTGTTTAAGGTCCTTGAGAGCTTGTACTCGAGCTTGACCTTTAACTTTCTTGAGGGTCTCTAAAATCTCCATGGCTCGACCTTGAACATCCTCGGATCTCTTCTTCATGGCCAGGTATTTCTGGGAGAACCAGCTGTGAATCAGCTGCTGAAGGGTGTTGTTGGGGGTGACAGAATCGTCCCAGAGCTCCTGCATTGTAGTTGGGCAAGTGTTGTGGCCCAACGAGAACCATTTGAGGATGTTGGATCTCTCGTAGGTTTGACCAGTGCAGAGGGTCACAGGGTCTTGCATCGGCTCCAGCGAGATCGGACAGATGAAAACCGATGGAACATCGATGGATTCGAGCTCCTCGACCATCTTCTTCAGATCTAATTTCTCTGCAACAACCACGCCGCCGCCTGTAACGCCGCCCAAAATGCCGTCTTTGACGGCGGTTTCTAGATCAAGAACTTGCCCTCCACCACCAACATCCATCTTCAAATCCTCTCCTCCTCCCCCTCTCCTCCGATTGGATGGCTGATACATCGGCATTTTGAACCGCCGGTAAAAGAAAACTGACAACAAAAGACCAGTACCCTTTGCCACTTCAAAGCAAACAAAAAGAATGAGGGGAAGAAGAAGAAGACCAACATAAACAAGAAGCGTGCGGCAAAGAAGAAAAAGAAAGGATAAGTGAAACGTTTCTTCTCTCTCTCTCTCTCTCTCTCTCTCTCTCTCTCTCTCTCTCTCTCTCTCTCTCTCTCTCTCTCTCTCTTACTGGTTCTCTTTCATTGACAATCACAAGCAACAATGTCCATCAAAGGGGACATCTTTTCTCCGCTCTTTAGCTTTTTTCTCTTTTCTTCTTTTGTTGTTTTACTCTATCCGATCTCTTTTTCCTTCTGGTCAAAAGAGCAAAACAACTTCTTCTTCTTCTCCTTCTCCTTCATCATCATCATCATTATAAACAATGATGGAGATGTAATCTTCTTCCCTAATACCAAAGCTTACTGATACTACTCAATACTTCCTCTTCAAGTTCTCTACCAAAAAGGGTGAAATCATCAAGACCCAGATCAGGAAAAGGGAAAAAGAAGACGACTGTAAGAGAGAACAATCAAATGGGATAAAGGAAGAAAAATAGACCACAAAAATATTCACTCAACAGTGCCCGCAATACTCCTATCAAAAATTACCAAAAATAATAATTCAAACCCACAAAAAAATTGCAAAAACATGAAAAAGTCTAAATTTTTATTTGCCATTAGAGACATGAAAGAGTGGGAAATCTCAGAACCATACCTAGTTATAAGAAGAAGGGTCAAGAGACCAAAGAAAAAAATAAAATATAAATAAATGATAAGAAAGCAAGAAAAAAGCTATCCTCTCTGCACAGTCTCCTCAACTGCTCTTCTTTTGGGGCAAGCGACGAAAACCCCAAAAAAATTAAATTATTTTTATAATTTTAAAATTTGTTTTTTCTTTGAAAACAGGAATTTAAAAAAAAAAAAAAAAATGAGTAACCGGGTATAGCCAGTCATTCAAAGTTTTACCCGTTGGCGACCGTGCGCCCCCACGTGCAGTCATTGGCTTCAGTCACCGAAATATCCGGTTTTCTATGTTGTCGATGATTTTTTTAACAAATTTTTTATAAAAATAAAAAAGGTTTTTTCTTTTTTTTTTTCTAATAAATAATTAATTTATTATTGCCTAGGGAAAAGTGGATAATATATGTGGAACTCAAAGACGCAACCTCGGTCAGATAGTCAAAAAAGGGCAAATGATGTTATCAAAGGAAATAATTACAGCATATACGAAATCCAGCGTTGGATGTGTTTGCCTAAATTTATAAAGTGATAAATAAATAAGTTTTAGTTTTTTAATAAATATTTTATGCACTTGTGAAATTTAATTAATATATATTTTTTATTATTTTCACCAACAAAGATTACTTTCAATCAAATTCATTAATTAAGTTTCTTTAAAAAAAAAAAAGTAATTGGAAATAATTGAAGCTTTTAAAATCTAGCAGGTCAAAATCGTCTTTTGGTTAAAAACAACAACAAAATATTGCTTCATGGGAATGGATTACACGTTGGGTCGGGCCCATCAACTTGAAGTGGGTCCCACAGCGTACCTAGCTAAGAACCTTTTTTTTTTCCTTAACTGAACCTAAATAAATAAATAATTAATTTCACGCTTTTTTGGGTAAATAATTAATTAAATTCACGCTTTTTAGTACCGGAAAAAAAAAAACAAAAACAAAGTAGTAGAAATATACAATTAAATATATAAAATGTGGATATAAGTGGAAGCTCGTGGAATGTGGGGCCCACCAAGCTTTAAAAAAAGTGCCAGCTCAGAGTTTGACTGGACAAAAACTGTAGATTGTTTTGCTTATACGATCTCCCCGTTTTGACTGATTTCTTTTCTGGATCGTCGCGATAACTGACACGTGTCGTGGAACTGTGAGTTTCTCTCTTCGATACGGACTTCACTTTGTAGTTCTGATTAATACGTGCTTGAGTTGGTTACAGTTTGTTTCCGTTTTATTTTTTATTTTTAATAAAATTATAAGTTTAAATTAAATTTTATTTTCTGCGTTTTTATTTGTTAAAATTAGTATTATTATTAATGTGTATATGTTATATAATTATTAAAAAATTTAAATTTTATTTTAATAATAAAAAATAAAGTACTTAATATTATTAAATATTTTGTTTTTTCTACATAATAGAAATAAAATCAATTATTAACAAAAATTATTGTGTTAATTAATTATCAAACCCAATATTTTTGTAAAAGGATAGAGCAATATTCACGTAATATCCGGATTGAGATAATTAAATTTCATTACAAGACAATGATTTTAATGACATTTTAATTTAATTAAAAATAGATATAATTATAATAATAATAAATAATTATTATTATTCTAATAATAATATCGATACTGTAATGGTCCGGAAATTAAAAGAAAATGTATAATTTTATTCTAAGTGCGGAAGCGAAATAAAATAGATTATGATTAACATGCCTTACACAATAACCAAAACGAATTAAACATATGAAAAAATAAACTAATTAAAAGAAATATTATGAATAAATACTATAAAGAAAACTAATAATTCTTAGGTTTCTACTCGCCGTCTTCCTGCAGAACGGATTCGGGAACCAAGTCCTCCTGATCTGAAATGGTTAAGTAAGAAATGAGCTACACTAACCTAGTAAAGACATCACACTATCTCACTGTCACAGAAGTAAAGGTTGGTAGAAAACAAAAACGACCAATTGAGCATAATCTATAACAAACTCATTTATCAATTATAAAAACCTTTACTGTCTACTTACCTCGGTGAGATTCATGAAAACAACTTATGAGAAACCATAACATCATAAACATCATAAGATCATGCACACTCTGTAACATAACACATATAATACTTTTGTATTTCAATCATCAGGCAATAAATTTCCTCTTTTATCAGTCAACTAGTATCCATTGGGATCCATAGGAGGTCTCTGCTACACGTGAACCAGTCACATTAATAACTTAGTTCCAGGGCCGTTCCCATACCCCAACCAGTATGGACGCCAAAACCATAAACCTACCCCATCCGATATGGGCGCCAAAACACATAAAGTCTTCATACCCCGTCTGATATAAGAGACCACGTTCCCGGTAGGGTTCCTTATGGACTCGGTCAGTCCATCATCTCCTAGGATATCTAGTTAGACTGTCGATATTATCCATTTATCAATTCACATACCTTTTTTCATTTTATCTTAATCTCAATTATCCAATCAAATATAAACACGTAAACCAGTAATGGACACCAAACAAGGCAACACAACATTAGGTTTACAATAATTCAAACCATAATAAATGAAACCGTGATTCATGCATATGAAACCATATAATAAACACATCAAGTACCATACTGCATTTAAAACTGCAAAATAAATCAAACAACAATTGACCGAAAAATACATCAGATTTGGGATCCATTAGCAACCTTAATTAATTATACGTATCTATTAATTCACAACATACCATTTTATCATTTATTAAGCTTTAATGCCGTAATAGGAAATAGGGTGAGAGATCCTTACTTGTTTCGGAGTCTCAAATCAGGTTCTCACTGCGCCTGCTGGCAATTCCTAGATTCCCTGAATTTTTTCCCAGAAACTGAAACACATTTCTAGTACCTGCACATGTCCCCAAAAAATCCTAAATCAGACCCAGGGCCCTTTCGACCAATTTCAGAATTTCGGCACAGCGGCGATCCGCCTCGGGTTGGCCATTTTCGGTCATTTTCGACCGAATTCGGCCAAACTTACATTGGTTCCTGTGATAAAACACCCCTAGGGCCCTCGGTGGGCCAAAAAATTCTAAAAAATCAAGACTTACCGGTGGCGAAGCTCTCGGGTACGACGGCTCCTCCGACGCGAGTTGCGATTTGGTGTTTTGCTATGGTCAACATGTAGAGAAAAGGACGATGATCACAGTGGTATAAAAATTATATTGAACAGGAACTGGGAAGGGCCTTATCGGAGGCAAAAATTGAGGAAACTCGCGGCGGCACCGCTGGACTTCGGCGATATTTTTCAGCCAATCGGTCGGTGGTTTGGCTCCGATTTGGCCACAGGGAGGTTCAGTATCGAAAAATGAGCCAATGGAAGAAATTTTACCTCGTTTGGAGGCCGAAAAATCCTCCAGTGCGGCGGCCGGTTCTTTCGATGGTTGGGTCGTCTTCTCCAGCGAGGGTTCTGGCGGCTAGAGTTTGGGGTTGGGTGCGGATGCGATTATTTATAACATTTCCCTTTTAATCTGAGCCGTCCATCATAATTTAATCTGGACCGTCCGATCGCGATTAAATTGGAAATAAATCTAGACCATCCATCGCGATGCGAT